TCAATATTCTATTTCAATAGATATCTACTTCGCTTAGTTTTCTAAGTAATGTACCTCTATTTTTTTCTGTGTGCTGTCTTGGCAGATGCCACTCATTTTTTATCAACTCATTTTTGACCTCAGGCATTGCATTCTAATTATCATATCGATCAAAGCCAAGCGGGACAGGCTAAAAAAAAGAATTGACGGTGAGCAGTGAAGAAATCCTGTGGCATCCGAGATCCTCAGCCAGCGTTTTTCTCATAGTTAACATAACAAAGGCCGTGATGATGCAGCCAAAAGGAAAAGCCTCGTGATGATTTCAGCACCCCAGAATCGGAAAGATCAGGCAAACAAAAGGCATTTGCTTGAGATATGGCAGATAGCAGATACAGAGCCCAACAATCCCTTGATCATTAGAGCATCTATAATAATGTATATTGATATGCTAATCAATGACTAGTCCCAAAGTTGAATGCTTCGTTGCGTTTATGATCGATGCGATCGCGAGTTGGCAAAAAAAAAAAAAAAACAAACAAACGACAAAATTTCAAATCATTTATCAATTAAATTATTGGCAAACATTGCGTAGCGCCCTCGATATAAAGAGATCGCACATCAGCCACACAGCTAGAGCGAGAAGGAGGGAGACAGAGAGAGAGAGAGAGAGTGAGCGAGAGACAGATCGGGGTTGCACCAACAATTGGCAAATTTCCCTTTCTTCTTTTCAGCATTCGCACAATCTGCCAAATGATCGATTATAGATCGATGTATTGCCATTGTCAAGAGATCTTTGTTTCGGTTGCTTTTTCTCAATTTTTTCTTTTCTTTTCTGTTTTGTGGTGTGTTGCCAATTCTGTCTCGTTCGCTCCTTTGTGTGCCGATTTCTGACGGGTTTAGCGATGATTTGTTGGTTTATTGTCGGCAATCCTCGCAGAAGGGCTGGATTTTCCTATTCCAAAAAAAAAATAAAGTATAAAGGATCACACTCGTGCCCAAATGCTTAACAAATATCCCTAAATGTGCTTTGTTTACGCCAAACAGAATATTGGCACAACCCTTTGATGGCCTCTCATTGACTTCTTGTGGGCGCACTCCATCCCTATCTCTATCTCTCTCTATCACTCTACTGCTTCACTTATCGTACACGTTTCGCTATTTATCCGATTTTAACGAGTTCGCGAAAGACACTTATCTTTATGCGCCCATAAACATAGTTTATTTCGTTTAATTTATTGCTTCTTTTGTATTTATTTCTTGCTTTTATTTGCCTATGTTTACTTTTATTTTTATGTATATTCCACACCACTTGAGTGAAACACCTGTTAAGTTCTAAAACTGGTTTTCGCGTCTTTTCATTTTCTGCTGGTTTCTGAGCTTAGGCTTAAGTTTAGGCTGATACAATTTGTTATGAAATTGATTTATTTTTAGTTTCTATTTTTGTGCAATGTATTATATTTACATATATTATGTAGTTTCAAACGATTTCAACATGTTTTAATTTCATATCTACAATTTAAACGTATCATCAATGTAGTTAAAATCAAGTCTATTCATTCTATTAAGTTGTTCATCAAACTGGTTTTTTATTTACATAAATAAATATCCAATTTGAGAATCGATACTTGAGGATTCGGTATGAAGCTTCAGGCTACCTTTCAAAATAGCTCTAGTTGCTTCAGATTTATTGCCTTTTTATTTGCTTACTTATCTTACATATGCACATATATAAAAATATGATATATATAAAAATATAATATAATATATTTTCATTTTTGCTTCCAATTTCCAATATATTTTAAAGCTAAATTTATGCTTTGAATTTTGGTTTCATACCATAAAGTGTAAGGTGTATTATATCTGTGATGTCTAAGCCAATCATTGTCTATGAGCTGTTCGTATACATACATATATGAAAACTAAATATGTACTTTTCAGATACACCGTAAAGTTATCTTTCACAGTTTTACAGGCGTAAAGGTCAAGATTTAATTTCTAATTTATTTGATTCCTTTGCTAAACAAAGATTAAAGATAGATCGGAAAATTTTTTTTTGTATTTAGTGAAGAACTTGTTTTTATTTTTTATAAGACTTTTACTCATTTATTTTGGATTTCATTTTAAGAAGAAACCAACAGTTGACAAAGATATAAAAAAAAAACGTTATATATTCGATATTATAAAAGATGTGGCCTAGATGAAAGAATTGATATAAAATGAGACTATGACCTTTCAACTGCGGACGACTGCGAGAATTGCGCAAGAGAAGTTGGGTTTTTTTTTATGCCTGAATGTCGAGGGATGGAGAGTATCAAATGTGAGTGAGTATGCATCAGAATTCAGTACTTTAAAACACATATGAGGAGCTGGTGTTTTCTAATTTTACAACTTTGTAGGAATGTACATTGTTATTACATATATTTCGTTGTTATTGGACCAGGATGGGTATTATGCAGTTATCTCAATTTTCTCCTTGTTAGACTCATTCACGAAAGTGAAATGAGTATATTGGTTTTGTGCAATGTCCGTCTTGCTGTCCGTCCGTCTGTCCGTCTGTCCGTATGAACGCAATCTATTTCGGCGCTATTGAAGCTAGAGACTTGAAATTTGGAACACATACTCGTGTATATCTCCGATTTATAAAGTGTTAAAATTTTCCCGATCCGCCCACTAGGGGCGTGGCAAATCGGAAAATGCATTTTCCGATATACCAGAAATCATGTTTGTTGAAGAGCTAGAAAGCTGAAATTTGGTATACAGGTCCGCGCCGACCACCCAAGATCACAAGCTATGGCGGATATATCTCCGCCCATTAGGGGCGTGGCAAATCGGACAAAACTGTATCTCCTAAAGTTAAAAACCTAGAATGCTGAAATTTTGCACGTAAGCTGATGTTTTAATTCTATGAAGATGGGTGAAAAAATTATATATCTACGCCCACTAGGGGCGTGGCAAATCGGACCTGAAGATATAGTGATTTTTCGAATTCTGTTATATTTTAGGCACTATTGATGCTAGAGATCTGAAATTTGGTATATATACGCGGGTTGATCCCCCAAGTCCAACGAGCTATGGTAGATATATGTCCGCCCATAGGGGGCGTGGCAAACCGCAAAAGTTTATATCTCCCACAGTTTAAGAGCTAGAAGCTTCAAATTTGGATAGTTAAGTTACTGGTAGCCTCCTCTATCGATGCCCCAAAAATAATTTTTAAGCCTCTTTAGGGGCGTGGCATATCGAAAAATACCCTGTAATTTTCTCATTTTTTGAGCGTAAGAATTCAAATTTTGCATTTAGGTAACCGGTTGCTCGTTCTAAGAACTGGCTAAAATTGAGGAGTCGACGGCCACTAGGGGCGTGGCAATCGGCATTTACAGTGCCCGTATTGCGACATTTGTATACGTCAGCCATCTATTTATGCATTTGTACATATAAATAAGCTTAATAGATATTCATAATACAAAAAGAAACATTTTTATGAATTTAAAAAAATTTAAAAGAAGCTAAAATAACAAAAATTTGCAATTTACAAAAAAGTGTTTTCCGCGGGATTTGAACTCGCACCCAACCCAAACAGCATGTTTGTCAAAATAGCTAAAATAATGGCCGTCGGCGCTTCACCCTACAGCACCACCGCGTTGTTTCGATGAACAGTAGTTAAAACGAAATCACATTATTGTTATGACGCCACATAGCAAAGAAAAGCCAGAGTGGTGGCTGGAAATTCAAAAACAATGCAGACAAATCAATCGCAACGAGATTCTTAGAATATGCTAGAGTACGCATTTATGTGTGCATACATACACACATACAAATGAGCGCGTGTATAAGGCTGGAATGCTTGATGCTATGCGTGCAGACTTACATATATACATATGTATATATTTGCGTATATGTATTTGAGGGCTATTTAAGAAGAAACCAATTTAAACTTATAAAATTATTCGACTAAGAAAATGAAAAGTATTAAGTGCCATTCAGTCAAGCTCGCACCTTTCCAATAAAATATCTATTTTATAAAAAACGAAATATGTATGAAAAAAAAAAAATAATAATAATAACATAGTAGAGGTTCGAACCTCCCCTACTCTAACATTACTTGCGTCGCCCTTAGCACCCGCGCCACTGCTTTGCTCGAGCAATCAGTTGCTAAAATAGAATAGCTTAATAAGAGAGCGTCATCAGACAAAACTACAGTAACGGCTAGAAAGTCCAGAAATCAATCGAAATTCTAAGAATGTGAGAAAAGGCGCGCTTCTGTCTGTACGCATAGAATAGACGATGAGTGTGTGCACATGTATAGTAAAATCGCGCTGATCTGCTGCTAGCTTGAAGCCGGTATCCAATATATGGATATAAATACATATATATTATTAAAAGTCTAAATTTTATAAATTATATACAATAGCAATAGCTATCGATGATTTTCCAATTTTAATGGGATCATGCCCTGTTTTTTGTTGCGCACTAGACTTGAAAATTGCACTATATACTCTGGTTGACAGCGTTTGGGCTGTGAATGAGTCTTCTGCAATCGGTATCGCCCGACTGCAACGTTCTTACTTGTTTTTAGATTTGACTTATAAAATATATATGTATATATAATAAAAGAAGAATGATTCTTATCACACATTTATTCTATCATTTTACACATTTCTCTAATATAGTTTCTTTCTTTTTTCTCCATAAGCACCAGCAATGCGAAACGAGCAAAATCATACAAATCTTTAAGCTACGTTAGGAGAACCTTCGATGTACTCGTTTTTCGAGTGAGCACTTGTAGCCATAAGTTGAAATTCGTGATGTGTTCGGTAGTTCCCTAAAAGCAGAATGTTGTTATTGGGGAAGAAAAAACCAGAATTGAAAGAAATTTATAGTCTTTTCATATTGAAAGCTGAATACACTCACAAATGCCATATAAATATTTTCATACGAGTTTTATTATATTATATATTTGAATAGGAATGTAAATTGTATTTAATAGCATATAATCTTCTGTGATATGCAATGATAGACGTGAATTACTATATAATACATATCACTTATAAAAGCAAATATACTTTTCCAAACTAATTTCAGATGTGAGGATTTAATAAAAATACTAAATTTGGAAAATAAAACTAAAAACAAAAAATCTGCAGTTCTGCTTAATTAAAGATTGCATGTATTGGTATTTCGCACATCCGTTTCAATGTTAGAGCCAATATTGTAATATCTAAATTTAGCTCAAAGCAGCGATTCAATGAATGCCCATATATTCAAATTTGAGCTCCGCTCGAGCAATGCTATCATTAATCTTCGAAATGCGACGTCAATCGGCGGTAGCAGCTGCTGTTTCTCAATTTCGATTTCTTTGCTGTTGAGGGTAATATGAAGATATGGAAGGACGCGAAATGCTAAACATCTGAGAACGTAAATCTCTTGTGAGACTTCGGCTCTCTTCTCCCGAAGCAACGTAAGCGGATTATGTGCATTTGCTTCTGCATCATTGCTTCCTTTGATCCTCGCTGCGGTTGCCGGACCTTCAAATTACAATAAAATCGATGTAGAATCCATAAATTAATTTGCTTTTATAAATATTTCTCAGTTTTTATTCATTAATCTTTTTACATCATTTGCTTTTTAAATCAAGTTCATTTTTCGCTTACGTGTATGATTAAATATAAAATAGATCCTAGAGTAGTTTGGTTAACTCTAGATTTATACAGACAAATTGTTGATTGTATAACTCCGTTGATACGTTGACTTGTACAGCACATTATAATTAGTTATAATATGTACACTCGTGGATATATAACTATCGCAGTACTTTGTACGGCACCTATGATCTATTCTATATATTATAGGTTGTTGTTGTACAGGCTTACGGACTATCTCTATCATGGACAAAAAACTGTTTGCAACTGGAAACAATAGAAATTTCGAGTTGAATAGAGTTTTGTGTTCTCGTTTCCTCAATCTTGCTTGTAAATATTGCTTATAGGGTAATTATGTATATATAGTGTGTTTTAGAAGCTAAGTGAAAACCCTGAGTTTGCTTTAAAAATAACCTTCAAGTAGTTTCCTTGCGGTCTACAGCTGTCAAAGCCTGGTTTGCTGTATGCATCTGTCACATTGATAGGTATATTTGTATTCTTGAGGCAGTGTGGAGTTACTAAATGTGTTTATGTCTACGATGGGGCAGCACAGTTGCCGCTGGTATTTTTTAGTCGTGCTGTGCAGCCTCATCAGAGGCGCATAGAGGAAACCAGGCATCGACAGCTGTCCCTCCCTCTAAATCAGCCCAAGTTAAGCCTAACTTAACCCTAACTTAACTTAAGCTGCTTTCGCTGTCATCGTAGCTGCTGCTCCTTCGGCTGCCGTTTGTGGCCGGTCGCCCGATACTATTGGGCCTTTTCCTTGGCCACGGTGCTGAGACCCAGAGCCAAATGGTCGCTGGCCAAAATTCCGGTGCTCGGCTGATGCGCATAGTTTCGTATCTGATGCAGCGAGATTAGCTGCGTAGGAAAGGCGGCGGCGGCAGCAGCAGCGGCTGCATTCTGCTGATACAGGTAGGCGGCAGTGGCTGCGGGCGGTGCTCGATGCTGCTGCAGATGCGAGGGCGGTGGTGCGACGGTGGCGCTCAGCGGCGTGAAGGCCGAGGTGCCCGGTCCAGGGGAATGAGCGTGCGTCGCATGTTGCTGCTGCTGCTGTGGATGCTGCTGCTGCTGTTGCTGCTGTTGCATATGATGCTGAGGCGTGCTCTGACGCAGCACCAGATCCTCGCCAGCCTCGTCATGCGGGCTTTGCGAGTGCCCTGGCGTATCCCCGCCGCTATTGGCCAGGCGTTGATGATGCTGCTGCAGCAGTTCCTGCTGCTGCTGCTGCTGTTGTTGCTGCTGCTGATGCTGGAGAGTCGCAAAGTTGGCATACGAACTGCCATTGGCTTGCGGCAGCTGCTGCTGTATGGCCTCGGCCAGCGTGGCGGCGGCGCTATCAACGCCCATTTTGGCCCAATACGCGGCATTAGCGTCGTTCATCGCCTGCCTCTGCAGATTCAGCCCAATGCCGCCCGCTGGCACATGCTGCTGCAGATTGGCGGCCGGCGTCGTGTGCCGCTGCTGCTGCTTCTCGGCCTTCTCGGCGTGCTTTTGCAGATGCTTCTGCAGATAGGTCTCCTGCGTGTAGGACTTGCCGCACAGCTGGCAAATGTGCGTCTTCAGATGCTTCGAGTCCTTGTGCTTGGGTATGTGCTCAAGCAGCGTCACCTCGTCGCCGAAGCACTTGTAGCACGAGTTGCATTTGAACGGCTTGTCCGTCTGATGGCAGCGCGAATGCGACTGCAGATTCGAGAGCTGCGAGAAGGCCTTCGGGCAGCCAGTGTGCCGGCATTTGTACGGCTTGTCGCCCGTATGCGTGCGTATGTGCTGCTGCAGGTGCGACAGCTGCGTGAATTTGCGCTGGCAGATCTCGCAGCGGTAGGGCTTGATGCCCAGATGGATGCGCGTGTGCTGCGACAAATAGGATGAGTTGGCGAAGGATTTACTGCACGAGGCGCACTTGTACGGCTTCGTCTGCTCCCCGCCCTGGCGCTGATCCTCGGGCGATGAGCCGTTGCTGCCATTGCTGCCACCTTGCTGCCGAGAGGGCGGACGACTCGGATCATACTGCAATTCGAGAAAAAGAAACAATTTTGTTTTATTGAATACTATAGTCTGTCAATGAAGAATGTAAATAGATTTCATTCGTAGAGATGCAATAAAAATGGTCCCACATAATATAATAGAATACGTAGAAATATTTCATGATAAATATTTACATCATTTAAATGATTTTTCTATATTTATACTTCCATAATCAAAATTTTAATAATGAAAATTTAGCAATCAACAATACTAAATCTAATCAATAAGTAATTATAAATAAAAGAAAATAAAAAAAAATTCTGCATTAATTATAAACAATTAATAAGTTTGTAGACATTTAAAAATTACAAATAATTTTAACATATTATAAATAAATTATAAGTTTTACAAAGTTCAACATTTTTTTCCTTATTATAGATTCCTATTGATTTTAATGACAAGATCCTATTAAATACATAATTGAATTGGCTTTAAAGATTCCAACTTTGATTTTTCCATCAAAATGTATCTCTTGAGAATATAGAACTGCAGTAATTAATAGAAAATTAAATATATTGCTTTGATATATTTTGAAATTAATTGTGAAAGACTTGTTCATTGGAAATAATTCACTCAACGTGGCATTTTTCATTTTCAGTCAGTCAGACAAACGTCTTTCTTTTCTCACAGTTAAACATCGTTCATATTTCCTATAAATATTATGCTCTAACTCTACTGAGTATCAGTGCTCAAGTGGCTAACATAGTTAGTCGGTGGTTGAATCCAATAGACTGCAAATACTCCATTTACACTCGAAATCGCTATACGTCGATCTCTTTTGCAGAATCTATTATGATACTATTACTAAAGGGGAAAGATAATATTATAATTATTGTCCCTACGGAAACCATGCAAAATACCTTTTCTAAATGTCAATTATCGTTATGGTATATTAGAATTATAAATTTAATATTCTTATATATTTGATCCCCAATACCAATATCAACTTGGCTTCACTCACCTTTTGCTCCTGGTGTTCGCTGAGCTGAGTAGGCGTTGCCGGCGAGCTTGGAGCACTGTAGTTGCCCTTTAGCTGCGGCTGATGGAGCAGCTGCTGCTGTTGTTGTTGCTGCTGCTGTTGCTCGGAATCATGCTGATGCGATTGCTGATGCTGCTGTTGCTGTTGCTGTTGCTGCTGCTGCTGCTGCTGGTCAATCAATATTTGCTGCTGCTGCACCAGCCCGTTCTTGCGCGAGTAGTCCAAACGCTCAACGTTCTGGCGGAACTCGTTGATGTTGAAGGGCTTGTAGTCGTGGACCAGCTGCTGCTGGGTGAGGTGGCTGAGCGTGCGCAGCTGGTCGATGGATCGGTGCAGGTGATACTCGCTACCAGCGCCATTCGGCGTCGACGTTGGCAGTTCGGCAGCCATAAGCGGCTGCCCGCCTAGGTTCAGCGGTCGATAGGCGATCGTGCGAGCGTCCAGATTGTGGCCTTTGCAAAAGCGAGCGCTTCAGCGGAGATTGGAGAGAAAGAGAGCGTAACCGAGCCGGGCAACGATTGCGACTAAACTGAAATCGAATCGCGGCTTACACAACTTCTTGGCTTATACTCTTTTTTGTCGTTCAGGTTTTATGCTGAAAATACAGAAATATTGTAATTGTTATTTAGGCTTCCGTCGCAAATTTCTGTAGAGTCAACAGAACTGTTAAACTACTTTTTCCATTTTTCCATTTGGCTTTCGCGTTGCTTCATTTTTTCTTTTACAAATAGTTGGCAATTTTTTTGAGACTTTTTGTACATAAATTTAACATAAATGTGCATGAATTAATTAATTGTTTATGAATTAAACGTGCAATAAATAAAACAAAACTTTGCAAGCCAAGCACTGAAAAAACAATGCCAAAAAAACACAAGATAAACAAAAAAGGCGCTTGTGCACAGCAAAAAATCCGATGTGACAACACAACATTTCATTTATATGAAAAATGCAAAAAGAACAAGTAGAAGTATTATAGTCGGGCGTATCGGTCCACTCAATACCCGCTCAGGACTTAGACATTTCTTAAACTGAATTAATAAATGCTTGAATTCTTAGTAAATCTGTAAGAAAAATTTATGTATTTTACATCTATCATGGCTCCAGAACAAGTATCTCGTTAAAATTAACCAAGAATAGCAAAACTTATATACTCTCTTCTACAGTGAACGAGAGCAACGAAAATAAAATTCTCCATTTTTTTGCACTCTTTGAGAAAGAGCCGGGAGGCCAGCTAAGAGTCAGGGGCGCCAGTGGAACGTGTCAATCACCTCGAGAACTGAAGAACACAGAGCAAAACTCTTTGCGAAAATGGGGCAATTCGTAATCTGCCACAAAGATGAGGCTCCCCAAAGCAGATGCTAAATAAAGAATAGACGAGAGGCACTTATCTGATTTGGAATACATTCAAGAATTGCAGAATAACAAAAGAAGACTAATTCAAATTATGCTAAAACAAAATAAGTATGCAAGTTCTAGCCGGGAGCTATCGAATAGGACATACCCTGAAAAAGCATACATATAGGTAAACTATAGGTCATGCAAATATACCATAAAACCTATGAGGCCATTTAACTAAGATTACAGATCAAATATAATTACTATATAAGTGCAAAATTTTTAGTTTATGCTCTTATAGGTAGTAAAACATGAATGCATGCTGTCTTTAGACTTTTAACCGTCTATCAAAGATAAAGAAATAGGATATTTGATAATACAATAATGGTGTATTATAATGTAACCTTTGATTTATGTATATGAATAACATATTTAATGTTATATAATATGTAAGTTATAAATTATACCATTATTATTTTGCTTAAGAATTGTCAATTAGTAAAATCTAATAATTTAATTTTGTTGTTTGAGATTAAATAAACTGATTTCTCTTGCAGTAAAAATATTAAATCATTATTGAAATTCGAGATGTAAAAACAATACCAAATTAAATAGCAATATTTTAGCAAAATACTATTTTATTTATTATATACCTAGATATATCGAATATATGTACATATGTATCAAATAAATTTTAATTTGAAATTGCTTTAACATAATTTGAATACGACGTAAAATGAATTTTTAAGAATAAAAATATACATACATTGTAATATTTAAATGAATTTTCGATTTATACTATGATACAATCTTTATAGAAATATAGATTTTAATGGATCGTATCAGATCACAAAATATAATATAGCATTAAAATTTAAAAATTTTAGTCCCAGCATTTATTTATACACATATGTATATAATTAATGCACATCGATTTTAAAACATTTGTTCTCTGAATGATTAAACTATAAAGTTTTTCGGTTGGAGCCTCTGTAAGAGCTTGATTGTCTTCCTTTTTATTGATATTGTATATTTTATATCTTTCAGAATCATTCATTCACTAATGCTCAGATAATAAACGTATATTTGTGATATCAAAGAAAAATCGTGGTGTCGGAAATCCTACTTTTGTTTATTTACAATAAGTAAGAATTCAATTTAAGATGAACTTATTAACTAATTGTAAACAAAGAAATAAAAGTAGGGAACAAGAACAAGTTGAATATGAATATATATACATACATGTGTATTTACATAGTTGTGCCTGTATTCATAAGCAAATTCAAAGACAACGGAAGGGGTAAATAAAATAAATAATAAAATAAAGTTATATCCATTTCAAAACACATTTTTAAATACTAATGCATTCATTATTATATACATAAACAAATTTATATGAGCTTCCCCTTTAATTAAACCACTCTGATTGACCCATAAAGCAACAACAAATAGCCAGAATTCGTAAACAAAAAGCTGTCACAGGTGTTTGTCCGCCGAATTTTACGTATGTTTCCCTCATTTTTGTATTTTTTCTCTTTTTTTCATTATTTGTAGAAAAAAATCAATAAGAAAAACCTCTGAATTGGCGCGCGCCGCATTGAAATAAAACAAATTGAGTTATTAAATCGGTCCGAGAGAGTGAATGAAAGAGATGGAGCGGCTAAGCGCCGCACAAGAGTGGGAGAATGAGTGACACACATACAGGCAGACACAGACGCAGTGCGTAGCTGTTTTGTTGTCGTTGCTGCCGCTGCTGCGCAGTTGACGTCAGAAGCAGAATTTTTGTGTTTCTTTTGGTTTTTTCTTAAAACATTTTTATAGCTGGCTGGTCAAAAAACCGGTTGTTGTTGTAGCTGCTTTTTTTCTGTTGATGTTGAGCAGAGGGCAAAGGCTTAAGGGAAAAGGCACACAGGATTCTTTAGTCGCTTGTTGACCCTGCAGTGAATGGATCAGTAATACAACTTAAAACTCAAACTATACTGCCGTAGATTATTACTACTCATATTTGTTGAAAGTGGCTTCAAACAAACAAACATACCACATCAAACACCCATACAATGCAGCGACTACAGCTGAAGACGGAATCACTCAGGCGGCCCCAAAGCACGCTAACGCCAACGTTGCTGTTCAGAAGCATACATATGTATGTACATATGTATAAAAAAAAATAGGTATACACAAAAAATTTAACGAACACACACAAAAAAACATTCAAGTAAACACGTACATATACACACGCACACACACAGTGTACAAAAAACGAATCAACGAAAATTAATTGAGCTCGAGCAGCGACCGCAGCTGAACAGCATAAGAGAGCAACAGAGAGAGTGAGAGCGCGCGAGCGAGTTAGCAACATAAACAAATGAAGAGCCGGACAGAAGCAAGCTGCAAAAAACGGAACAAAAGCTTGGACTGCTAAGCAAATAAACGAAAAAAGGCTACAACGGTTGGCGGGGGTGAAATGTGCAAAAAAAAGAAAGGAGAAGCGCGCGAGAGCAAAAACAGCAGAGATAAAAAAAGACGACACACAAACCGCCACCGAATGAATGGCACATAAAGAAGTCAAACAATGACCAGGGCGGGTGGGTAAATATTGGCAGCCGTCGTTGCACAGTATTACAATTCCGTTTGCATTTGGCAAATGTTTTGATGACACATTTTTTCTTTAGCACTGCAAATTGTGAACTTGTTTTGCTTAGCGGATTTTAAATATTTTGAATAAATGCTTTCTAATCTCAAATTATCTTATATCTCTAGACTATAACACAATTGGATATTTATTATTTGTGAGGATTTTTATTGATCGACATAGAAATTGTAATCATATAAGCACTGTAAATATAAAAACAGCTATTTTGCTCGGAAAAGTAAAAAAAAAAAAAAACATTTGGAAGTACTTACCAACTGGAAATGGCAGTTGTTATTGTGTTCTCTTTTTTGCGCGCGTTTCTGTTGATGTTTTCGTAGTAAAAGCACGTGTTCTGACTGACCTATTAGTGTGGGTGGGGAAGGGGGTGTTTCGACAAATATTCGCGTTCCGTTCTGCTATCCTTTCACAACTTTTATGTGATTTTATGTTTTCACCTTTCGTTTTGCGTGCGTAGGGAGCAATAGTTTGGTTACGATATTTGCCTACCTAGGTAAACAACCCGAAGATACTCATTAATTTTTTTCTTTTTATTTATTATTATTAATTTTGTCTATTTGCACTTTTTACGTTTTCTCTTACGAATTTGGAGTACACTAAGCACACGCACACACATGCAGACTTGAGAGCTAAGGAAAAAAATGGCCGCGCACGCCAAAAATATATACACACACCAACACACACTTGAGCGTGTGTGTTTGCACTTGTGCTGCCCTCTTTTTTTGCAAAATTTGGCGCGACTTAATTTTGGCGCCTTGATTAATTATAAATGATGAATGAGGGGAGATCGCACGATTTACAGCATGCAACATTCGTTTCGTTTATGGTTTGTGCTTCGTTTCACCCCTCGTTATTTACATGCTGAGCGTACGCGAACAACAAATCACTACGGAAAACGTAAAAAAGACGAGTGTGAAGAAGAGGAACCATTCGGCTCGGTGGCAAAAACTCGACTGAAAAAACCACTCAACTTTTTTCATGACATTGCAATCGGAAAGCAGCTGTGAGCGTAAGTACCTGGGTGTGTGTGTGCTTATGTGTGCCTGTTGGTTCGTTCGCTCTCCCTCTTGCACGCGCATTGAAAAAATGCTTGTTTATGTTTTTTATGTGTGTGTTTTTTGCTCACCACTATTGCGCTCTCTGTCTTTCTGTTGTACTCTCTACGACTCTCTCTCTGTGTTTTATTCCGGTTTTACTCTGATTGGTTTTTATTTCTATGAACATTTTGAGTACCCTGTATTTTTTATGAATACGCAGGGAAAGGTAATTCAAATTAACTTAAAAGTATTAAGTAAAGGACGTTACCATTATCGAGTAAGGACATGATTCACTAAATTTATTTTAAATTTTAAATAAAAAATAATCACTTAAAATGTTATTTTAATCTAAACAGAGATGGTGAGTCCAAACCCTTTTAAAATAATAATAGAGAATTATTTCCAATCCTATTTAATTTATGTTTAGAGCTTTTACTAAAGGAGAGTTTGCTGAGTCTTAAAATTTAAGGTTTTGCCTGTTATACAATTTAAATATTCGCTCCATGCATTCATGCTATCGATATTTTATGTGTACGATAACGTTTTAACGCTTTGCAACATTGTTTTGTAGTGGAGTAAAATGCCGTTTTCAGTGCTCTAAATGACCACATTGTTCAGCTGTTCTGCGCGTGCAATGTTTTTGTTTTGGCGGTAACAAAATATTAACTTCTAGAAATTGTGTTACTTTAAGTATGTCTGCACCATATAAGAGATTTCTGAACGTACTAGAGAAGTGGCCAGCAGAAAAAACGAAAGTCGGCAGGTAAGAGAGCAACTTCCAGACACATACCGTAAAATGTTCGTTCAGCGGAGTCTTGCAATGGGCATTATCTAACCATCTCACTTTGAATTTGCTTACAAAACCAAATGTGTGTTACTTTCCATGCTCAGTCGATGTGTTTTAGGTCGAAATTAGTAAGAACAGCGCAGTTAATTTGTTGTCGCTGATATTAACGCTCTTCAATGTTGTTGCACATGGCAACATGTTTCATAGTGGAACGTAAGTTGTGCGGTGTATTATTGGACTTTCTGAAACTTGTTTTCATTCAGCTGTGGCACATGCCAACAGCTTCCATAATTTAAACTGGATTGTAAGGTTTTGGTCAGCAATTGTTTTTTGCCTATATCTTGCAATGCCACAATGGAAAAAATGATTGTGGAACGTATTTGGGTAGAACATTTGTCAATTTAACATAAGCAGCAGCTTCAGTGTCTTAGCGCTCTTTGTCGGGCTTGCTTGGTTTTTTTGTATGTGTGCCTTGGCTTAATTAAAAATCGTATTTCACAATGTCTTCTAAATACGCCTACCAATTAATACCTGAGAGTTTCCTTCTTGGCGCCCAGGAATCGACAATGTAAGTGTCTAAAAGCGAATTTATGAATATGCAGAAATATTTCGTTTCCCTTAACTTAATCTAAACTTAATAAAAATAAATAAATCGTATGTTTATCGTGGCATAATAAAGTCAAAAATAAATATTTAAAACAATATATTACCAACTTATCAGTTGATTGATTTTCTATGCATATTGGCATTATAATATTATGGAGGCGTCCCAAATCGGAAAACGTTCACTATTTTATTTATCTATTGGAAGACTGTGAACGAATTTACTTAATTGTTGCGGATTTACATAAATGTGTGGAAGACATTAGTTTGGCAGTGGCAAAACTTTTCGGTATAATAAATACTTGAATCTATTTGCCCGAAGTTTAGTTTTATCTCCACTCTGAATTTGAATCTTAGTGATTTAATTCCAACGTTTTATTGCTTGTTGCCTTTTAGCTTCGAGTGGGCTCAGTTATTGTTGGGATTTTGTTTGGCTTTTGTAAAGGTATTCAGTATAATAAATAGTTGTATTTTTTTTTCCTATTTCTACCTGTACTCTGTCATTGCTGAGCTTATATTGCTTACTTGAATTTCTTTAACTGGAATTAATCAACAGGCATATTGGGTTTCTATGATTGTGGAGTGCTAAAACCAGTTAAAACTCGACTGTCTTTGTTCATTTCTTGAGTCTACCATTTTGAGTTGAACTATTGCCAAGTTTTCGCTGCAACGAAACATAAAACAATCACATAAAATTGTGAATTTGAAAACCAAACAACATTTTCTCTCCCATCTAAAAGGGATCTGGGCGAGCAAATCCGTAAGCAAGCGGCCAGGCTAAAAGACGCCTCCAGTCAGAACTCAGCAGCCACTGAGCAGCTGAACAGGCAGATCGACGCCTTGGAGAGGCTCTCGAATAACGTCTACGCGAAGAAGTATACGAGGCGGTTCGAGTCAACGGCAACGGGCTTAACTGCTGCCCAGTGTAACCAGGTGCTCAGCTCGGAGTTTCTGCAGTATCTGAACGATGGCAAACGCAATTAGAGCCCAGCAGCTGATGCAGCGATTCCTGACCAGACTAAGACTAACAGCAATACAGAATAGACTCTACACAGCTGCGGCTGCGCCTTCAACTCCAGCTGAAGCAGCTCCGCACGTGCCGGTGCTCTGCGAGACGGCCATCGAGTACCTGCAGCCGAAGCCTGGTGGAAAGTACATCGATATGACCTTTGGCGCCGGCGGACACACAAGGAAGCTGTTAGACAGCTGCCCAGAGACCACAGTCTACGCCCTCGATCGAGATCCAGTAGCCCATCAACTGGCCCAGCGCATGAGTCAGGAGCAGAACTACGAAGGGCGCCTAATCCCCATGCTTGGCAAATTCTCGGACCTCCCGCAGCTGCTGCAAGCTCTAGATGTGCCGCCTCGGAGCTTCGATGGCATGCTGTTCGACTTTGGCTGCAGCTCCATGCAGTTCGATGAAGCTGCGCGCGGCTTCTCCATCGCCCACGACGGGCCGCTGGACATGCGCATGGATTGCGGACGAGGCGGAGTCAGCGCCGCCGATGTGCTGGCCCGCATCGAGGAGGCAGACCTGGCGCGCATTCTGCGCGTCTATGGCGAGGAGAAGGCGGCCAAGAAGATAGCGCGCGCCATTGTCGAGGCCCGGAACGCGCTGCAGCGCATAGAAACCACTCGCCAGCTGGCGGACCTGGTGGCCGCTGTGCTGGGCGAGGGACATCGTAGGGACAAGCTGCAGCGGCCATCGCATGTGGCCACCAAGACATTTCAGGCCCTGCGCATCTTTGTCAACAACGAGCTGAACGAGATCAACTACGGCATGGTGCTGGCCCAGGAGCTGCTGTTGCGCGCCCAGGGCCGGCTGGTGGCCATCACCTTCCACTCGCTGGAGGACACCATTGTCAAGCGGCATCTCAATGGAAATGTGATTGAGGGCGTGGCCAATCCGTTGCCGCTCAAATACAGCGGGCACGATCTTACCCATGATCCAGAGCTCATGGAGTCCTTCGTCCGGTCCAACTGGCGACAGCTGCATCGACACGTCATCCTGCCCGATGCCTCGGAGATCGCACGCAACAGTCGCAGTCGCTCGGCCAAGCTGCGCGCCGCAGTTAAAATAAAGTAAATAATAGATTAAAGACGAAAACTCTGGTCAGGAATAAAACAGAATAAAACAGATACTGAAACTCTCTCTACCCCTCTTTATCTTCTTACTTACCTAACTTTCTCGCTCTCGCTCTTTTGTTTATATTTGGAATTTGCTAATTGATATGTCCACCGATTTTCATGTTATCTGCATAGCAATTGGCACCTTGCGATAAGGCACGACTTTTCTGTTTTGTTTCTACTCTTTACTTTTTTTTCCTTTTTGATGGTTTCTGTTTGCATTTTGTGTTTTCTCGTGGAATTTGTTTGTTTCACACCGAATTCAGGCATTAAATAGATTACGAAATCAGTGTTATATATACGAAATAGAATTATTCCAAACGCACAGTGGTTCCAAAGACGATTTTTTTTTTAATAATGGAAAACTTTTGGAAAACAAAAATTGTTGTTGAAGTGTTGTCTGATGTTGTGCCTCCTATAGTGGTAGAGGCTAACAATATCCGTAAGTCTTTAAAAAATAATAAAGAATAACTATATATTGAAAAAAAAAAAGAAGAAAAAATCAAAACTTAGCGATTGCAATTTAACTTTTAAAACTAAATCGTTGCATTAATTTTAGTTCTATTTTTAATATACTTACAATATTTTAAAATTTCAATTTTTTGCATGTTAAAAATTTAAACCTTTTTTTTTTTTATACATGTTTGTAAAGTTTTCTTTTTCTTTTATTTAAAAAAAAATTTGTTTTGTGGATTAGAATTTATTTTAAAAAAAATTTTAGTCTATATGTTAAAGTTTGTTTATTATATACTTTTTTGTTTGTAAAAATAAAAACAAATGTATATTATTAAAAATCTTAAAATAATGAAAAAAAATATTTAAGATTTTTTGTGTAAATTATATTACATATGAATGTATTTTAAAGTATTTATATTTGTTCCCATGATTTTTCAAATGATTTTCATTATATTTCCCAAGTCTAAGATTACTAGGGGCTGTTAGAGGTTTTTCCTATCACTTAACATATTTTATATGATGGAACTCTTTTAACCAAACAACCAAAGCAAACAGTCGAAGCCGACTCGCATGTCATTTTGCGGTCACAGAGAGAAGGAGAGAGTAAGAGAGGAGAGAGAGAGATCTGATTGTATGGCCAATGGAAAATTCGTGTCTTGTCTTCTCTACTGCAGTCGCGTATTTGTTTACGAGTAGCTGTGACCCTACCGAAACCCAAAACCGAATAATCACAAAAGTCTGATGATAAGCGGGCGCTGGAGAGGCGGGCGGAGCGAGATTAGCCTGAGATAGAGCGTAGACACACACAGGCAAACCTATTGCCGGCCATAGATGTGCGGCTACGGCTGTGGGTATAGATAGCACCGGCACGACCGATAGGAGCTCAGTTACATTACGCGAGCGTTAGCTATCGTTGCTACCGTGCCTCGTCCACGGACCAAATATTTCGCGTATACTTCAATCCTTTGTGCGTTTTTGCAGACAGCCGAAAGCGAGAAAGATGACCGTGGAGGCGAAAGTCATATCCGGCACGGCGGTGGCCAAGTGAGTAGTCAGCTGAGTTGGCGCCTGTAATGCTGGATGCTAAATGCACCACGGTGCACCTGTTCCATCTATCAGGAATATACGCGAGGAGCTGCGCCAGCAAGTGAATGCGCTGAGGGCTGAGGGCGCTCGATTTGTGCCCGGACTCAGAATCGTGCAAGTGGGCGGCCGGGAGGACTCCAATGTCTACATACGCATGAAGATAAAGGCGGCCACGGAGATCGGCATCAATGCCGTGCACGTCCAGCTGCCCAGATCCATCACCGAGTCGGAGCTGCTCGATAAGGTGAGTCGAAGTCAAAGGCAAAGCCAATCAACGTGTTATGCAATAGCTGACAAAAGAAATACTAATCAGAAATTAATTATCTGCGAGCAGTCTGTCGGCTCGAGTTAAACGAAAGCATTAAAGTAAAGTAGATATGATATATATGTATGTAAATACTTACATGTTGCTAGGTATACTACCTCCTAGTTGTTGTGTGTGCTAAAAATTAAGGCTTCAAATATTATATATATTTGAATTATACTTGACTCGGTCATTATCGCATTAAAAATAATCCACCTTAATAAAATATAATTTTTATATATGAATATTTTTACTGCATGTTCCTAAAATAGGTGACCTGTGGCACCTGTGCTTTGAAAATAGTATAGTATTTGCAAATGAGATCAATAAGTGAATAAGTGAATTGAAACTCAAATTACCAAAATTATTTATTTTTATTTAAGTAAATCGTTTCGTTAAATTGTTTAAAAATATGTCAGAATCTTACTGCCGACTCTCTCTACCGACTACAAAATATTCTTTCTCAGACCGAAATGCAATTCAGGCTAGCCTGTTTTGTTTAACTTTTTGAATTACAGCTTAGGCTTAGTTGAAAAAATTTAAAAGATAAATTCTTTAGCACAATGCTTAGAATTATTCGATAGTAAGATAAATGTCAAAACTGTGAAAAAACAGCTAATTTTCTATTTTATATATACACAGAAGCTATATATTTTTAACGGGTGTGTATTTTAAATTTCGGATGGTTTACCAATCATAATAAGTAATTTCTTCAAAGCTTTCTAAATTAGACATTATGGATTTAACGAAATGGAAAATATGGATTTTTTATGGGAAATACAAATTTTGATGCAAAAAACAAAAAACACGAATATTCGCAATACAAAAGAAATTAAATTAAAAATCAGAGCTTATGACAGATTCTGTTGATCCTCCAATTATGTTAGTTTTTGTATAAGCTGTATAAGCAAATGAATGTTTACCTTCAATGTGTTACATATTTAATAAGAAAATTATCACACCCTACCCATAGAGTACCCAATTGAATTGCTATCAAGTAATTAACACCTCGGCTGTTTCTAATCAATCGCGCGTCATGTGTTCCCACAGCTGAGCGACCTTAATGCCGATCCCCAGGTGCATGGCATTATTGTTCAGATGCCTTTGGACTGCGAGACGGCCATCGATGCGCACCGGATTACAGACGCCGTCTCCCCAGCCAAGGATGTGGATGGACTGCACACAGTGAATGAGGGTCGCCTCGCCGTGGGCGATCTCAACGGCTTTCTGCCCTGCACGCCGTGGGGCTGCCTCGAGCTAATCCGCAGCACCGGAGTGGAGATCGCCGGCGCTCGAGCCGTTGTCCTCGGTCGCAGCAAGATCGTGGGCACGCCAGCTGCCGAGCTGCTCAAGTGGGCGAATGCGACGGTCACCGTTTGCCACTCGAAAACACGCAACCTGGAGGAGATCACGCGTAGCGCTGATATCCTGCTGGTGGGCATCGGAGTGCCCGAGATGGTCAAGGGCAGCTGGATAAAGCCCGGCGCAGTGGTCATCGATTGTGGCATCAATGTGAAGCCAGGTGAGCTTACAGGGCGAACCAGAAATTTTTAGGCCTAACTGAAAATGGGAGAAAGAGAAATTGCTAAAGCCAAAAAGTTCCCAAAATGATTAGGCATATATGTATACTCTTAATTAAGATGGGATCATTAAGAATATATATTCTATATTAAGGCGGGAATTTTACCAGTCCGCCTTGACATGTCAGTCTATCCTGCTTGTAATAGACTTAATTACTGCCTTTTGGATCTCGTAAAGGAGTTTCGGCAGACGCTTAAAGTTGATGTCTACCTATTGATCGAGTCATGTCCGTCAGCTCTGCGTAAGCTCAGGTCTCAGCATATTCATTAGTTGAGGCTCAGGGTATTTCATAGTTCATAATTCATAGTTGAGCTATAATGAAATTTACTTAATGTAGATCAAAAGTAGGACGTCATCATAAGTAGGACGTACATGCATAAGCATGACTTCACTATTTCGCGCACATTCTGATTAATCTTATTTTTGGAAATGCTGATTGGCCTCTACCGGCTGGAACATCTTTTATTCATAATTAAATAAGGCCAATCTAAATCTGGAATAGGATTTTGAAAGCTGATAACACAAGTTTTGAATAATTTTTTCTGTGAAATGGGTTTTCAAATGAGTTCTTCAAGATATCTCCTCTCTAGAAGTGGGCTCTCTCGGCTAGAAATGACTTTGAATAGGATTTTGAAGAATCCTTTTTTGATAAATCTTCTCTTTGGGTAAGTTCTTCAAACGAGTGTATAGGGTATCTTTTAGTCGATAAGGAGTACTCTTATTTGCCGTGTTCAATCTAACGATGAGTTTCAAGTGCTTCCCTTGGTTATCGCCCCGTTTGATCTCAGCTGCGACCCTGATAAGCAGCTCGGCTAGTGGTTTTCCACGCTCGGTTTTTTTTTTTTAGCTTAGTAAACAGATTTCTCTGGGCTGCGGCAGTCAACAAACTGCTGTAAGTCTGACGTAGGCGCAGGCATAGGCATTGGAAATTAAATTGAAAAATCCGCATCATTGTTACTTGCAGACGCATCCAAAGCGAGTGGCAGCCGTTTGGTGGGCGACGTTGACTACGAGCAGGCGAAGCTGGTAGCGGGTTATCTGACACCTGTGCCGGGAGGCGTGGGGCCCATGACCGTGGCCATGCTCATGAAGAACACCGTGGTGTCGGCCACCAGGGCAGCGGCAAGTGCCAGGTGCAGCCAGTGGTCGCTGCAGGTGCTGCCGCTGCGACCCGCCAGGCCCGTGCCGTCTGACATCGTAATCGCGCGTGCGCAGCGACCCAAGCACATCGGGAAGCTGGCCGAGGAGATCGGACTGCTGCCGAGTGAGGTGTCGATGTATGGCAGCCGCAAGGCCAAGATCTCGCTGGGCGTTATTCAGCGCCTAAAGGACCAACCGGTGGGCAAGTACGTCGTTGTGGCGGGCATCACGCCCACGCCCCTGGGCGAGGGCAAGACGACCACGCTGATGGGCCTGGTCCAGGCGCTGGGCGCGCACAAGCAGCGGAATGTGGTCGCTGCACTGCGCCAGCCCTCGCAGGGACCCACCTTCGGCATCAAGGGCGGAGCAGCGGGCGGTGGCTATGCCCAGGTGATACCCATGGAGGAGTTCAACTTGCACCTCACGGGCGACATTCACGCTGTGGCAGCGGCCAACAATTTA